CAATGAACACACAATAGCCAGTTACTGATCTCCTACTGTCAACACACGCCTCCCAATCTAAATTACAATAGCCTTCTAGCTGCAGTCTTTATTTTGTAGGGTAAAATAGTCCCTGTCCAGGTGCCCTTTTATGTACCTCAGTAGCTTGTGAGAAGTATGTAGATGTAGAATTCTAGGACTTCCCATAAACTGACTTAATAATTGAACTGAGTATGTAAGATCAGGTCTGGTAATTGTTGAATATAATAATCTTCCTACTAGTCTTCTGTAGAGTGATGGATCAGGTAATAACTCACCTTCATCCTTGTTGAGTTTAATGTTCTGATCGAGAGGAATCTTAGCAGGGGTTGAACCTATATTTCCTGAATCTGCCAAGATATCTAAGGCATATTGGATCTCGCTACCTCGATTCCCAAAAAAAATACTTCAACCTTCCCAGATCTTTGATCTTGAACTTCTCATTGAAAGAAGCTTTAAGTTTGCTAATTGAATCATGACAATTGCCTGCTACTATTATATCATCGACATAAACTAAGATAGTAGTAAAATCATCACCAGTTAGCTTAGTAAATAGGCTGTAATCTGCCTTTGATTGAGTGTGTCCTTGATCAATAATGAAGCCAGAGAGTTTTGAATACCATTGGCTTGAAGCTTACTTCAACCCATACAAACTCTTGCGTAGCTTACACACTTTGTTCCTATTGGCATTGGGGTGACTTGGGGGCAACTCCATGTAGACATCTTCATCCAAATCACCATTCAAAAATGCATTGTTGACATCAAATTGGCATAGACTCCACTCCTTCATTGTTGCCACTGCCAATAGAGTTCTGATGGTAGTCAACTTTGCCATAGGAGAGAAGGTCTCGTGATAGTTAAGCCTCTCTAATTGAGTGTAACCCTTTACTACTAAGCGTGTCTTGAACTTTTCAACACTGCCATTAGCATTGAATTTGATCTTATATACCCACTTACATCATATGGCCTCTTTATCAGGTGGTAGATTGGTCAAAGACCAAGTGTCATTAAGTTCAAGAGCTTCAATCTCAGCTTTCATGGCGGCACACCATTCAGGTGAGACTTCTTGGTAAGTTCTAGGATCAGAGTGATTTGTTACAGAAGTTACAAAAACAGGATGAGGAATGGATAATTTTTCATAGGAAATGCTATTATTAAGAGGAAACTTATTGCCTGCGACATCAATGTCCTTTCTGTTGCAGAACTTCTGGAATGGGAGAGGTAAAGAAACCTGTTGACACAGGAAATCTTCCAGATGATGAGGAGTTCTTCGAATTCTGTTGGACCTGCGGGGTAAGTGAGAATAACAGGATGATCTGACTCCAAAAGTTCAGTGGCTAAGTTAGGAGGTTCTGTGATGTCAAGATCAGTGCCTTTAGAGGATTCTATATAGGATGGATCATTTGAAGTGTTATGCTCAACTTGTTTGGCATTATCAAATGGGGAAATCACAAGAGTCATTAGAGATGACATGATTCTGTGTAAAACTTAGAAGATTGAAATCAGTTAAGGAGATATTGTCACTGGGATTCATGCTTTTGAATGGAAAAATGTCTTCGTGAAAAATAACATTTCTTGAAATGAATACCTATTTTGTTCTTAAGTCCAGTAGCCTATACCCCTTTACCCCAAAGGGATATCCAATGAAAACACATTCCCTAGACCTTCTATCAA